CTAGCTCATTGTTCAGCATCTGAGGTATGTGAAGGGAGAGGGGGGAGAGAGATAGAAACATCCATGATGAGATCATCACGGATCAGCTGCCTCCTGCAAGCCTCCGACTAGGGGTAGAGCCTGCAGCCTGGGCATGTGCTCTGAGACTGGAATCAAACTGTGGCCTCCGGGTTCATAGATGGATGCTCAGCCACGGAGCCACACAAGCCAGGCTTCGCCATCTGACTTAGGACAACTTCACCTCTGGCCCACATCTTGTCTCTTTGTGTCTTTCTTTCATATGTACTAACCCTTTGTCTTTGATGAATTGTTTTTTCATTCCTTTTTTCAGTGTTGTGAATCTGGACCGTTTTCCTTCCATTAACTCTTAGAAGTAGGTGAGTACTCTTGAAAGAAAAAAAAAACAAAAAACTTTGCATTGGGAAGTTTTATTCTCCTCAGCAATTGACCTATTCCAAACAAAGCAAGACCACATCTCTCTTTTCTATTCTGAACACTAGCTTATAATCGGAGTTTGATCCCATGTCCCACTGAGCCCTTAGGATCACTAGAGTTTTGTTTCCAACACAAGGTGTTTGAAAACATAGGTGTTTACGTGAACATTAGTTCCTGAAGTAACAAACACGTATTATATGGCACACCTTCTGGAAACGAGAGGGTTAGCAATTAGACTCCTAAGAGTCATTCCATCTACAGACCATTTACAGTCATTCCATATGTACAGAGATATTATAGATTCTCAAAATTGCCTTGTCTCCCTCACAATGACTAAGGTCATTGAGGGCATAGTCTGAGTTTTCATCAGAGACTGATGCTCAGTGGAACCCAGTTTTATGAATATCATCAGCACACACTTAAATGATTTTAAATGTCCATTTAAGGAGCCATCAAAATGAACAGAAGCAGCATTTAGGGTTGTCTGCAAAAACAGCCTTTGCCCCGTGCATTCCTGGAATTGGCACTATTGGGACAGACTGCTGATGATAATAGTGTATTCCTTAGAGAAGCACAGCAGGACCTCTGGGAGTCAAGCCTGCCTGAATCCAGATCCTAGCTCTATCACTTCCTGGCCGGATGAGCTTACCTGACTCTGCTTACCATCCTCCAACTTCAGAGAACTCACATGAGATCAAAAAGGAAAAAAAAAAATCTGCATTTTAATGTAACATTGTCAGTGATAAACCATGTACCCTCATAGGCACTGGAAGACTGAAAATTTCAATTTAAGCTATCCTGTAGGTAAGAACAGCATATCTGTATTGTTTTTTATGTAAAAAGCATTATACAATGGGTTTTTCCTTACATTCTTCTAGCTTATTCTCACATGGACCCCTCTAAGAGATAGGAGAGGCATACATTACACTCTACAACTTTAAAATGAAGAAAATATAAGAAATGCAAAAGCACTTTTAAAAAAATATAAAGTGTCCGCCGACATATGACACCATCACCAATAAGACTCTCTGAAATGTAAACCATATGATATCACTGCACGGGTTAAAAACCTTTCAGCTGTTCCCCACCACTTAAGTATAAATAGTCCAATCTCCTCAGTATCGCACGCAAGCACCTTCCCAATTTCTGCTATCCCAAACCCCGTGCTTTAGAGACACATCCTCCCTACTTTTGCCCCTGCAGTTCCCAGCCCTCGGAAATGGCTTTCCCTCTCTCCCTCATTCCATGGGGCTCTTTAAATCTCGCCTCCAGTGGTGCCTCCCCCTCAGAAACCTTCCAGGGAGCCCCATGCCTGCCCTTCCCTGCCCAAGTTAATTAGACTCTCCTCTGGGTTCTCTTACTATCGGGTCCTTACAGCCATTACACCTCATCTCTCACACCATATTTACTACCAGCACATCCATTTATCATACTGGATTATGACTTCTTTAAAGGCAGAGCTGTGTGTTTTTCTTCATGTTATTCCAGAGACTCAATAAATATATATAAAATGTGAGTGCATGAAGGCATTCCACAGATCATCTGGTCTTTTTTTGGCTCTAAACATTTTCATATTCAATTCTATTGTTATGCCCTTAAAAAACAAAAAATATTGAACTTTTAAATCCTTTACTACTAAGTAATGAACACTATGGACATCCTCATACCTGTCGGAGCCTCACCCCATCTCTTACTAGGGATGAATTTCAGAGATAAGGTGAGCTTTAGGCAGAGAATGAAAATGTCTAATAAAATTAGAAATCAAAAATCTATTTTTTTTCATCTTTATTATTGAAAGTATTAGAGATGTCGCCTCCCAGCACACTCACCCTTTCCACCCCACTTCCTTCCCCTCCCCAGGCCTTCCCTGCACTATTGTCTGTCCGTGGGCTATGCATATACACATATAAGCTCATTGGTTAATCTCTTCCCACTCTGGAAATATTAACAGTATGTTTGCAGACTATCCTCAGGACCAAATTCCCTCAGAAGGCCTGTTCCCTGATCCTCACACTGGGTGATCAGTGGCAAATTTCACACATAATACATCTGAATTTCATATTTTAGCCACAGATATTTGTGAACTGACCCCAAGTCTATGTTCCATGTATGATTATTGATTATGACTTGTGTAGCAAACTGTATTTTTTTTTATATCTTATTAATTTTTTACAGAGAGGAAAGGAGAGGGATAGAGAGCTAGAAACATCGATGAGAGAGAAACATCAATCAGATGCCTCCTGCACACCCTCTACAGGGGGTGTGCCCACAACCAAGGTACATGCCCTAGACCGGAATCGAACCCGGGACCTTTCAGGCCTACGGTCTATCCACTGAGCCAAACCAGTTTCAGCGCAAACAGCATTTTACCAATATTTATTTTAAACAAAGTAGTACACTTCCACTTCCGTACTAGGGCTGCTTATTCTGTGTGTTGTTTAATTTTGTTGCATTCTGTTGCCAATTAATATAGCCTTAAAAGTATGTCACTTTGAGGTTTCGAGTGCAGCAACTACCACTGACTTTGTGGCTATCCCACAAATCACTCAATGAACATTAAAAAAAAAAAAAAAAAAAAAGTCAGACATGGCCCCTGCCCTCAGGGAGTCTACAGTCTACTAGCATCAGCATCAGCGTCTGCTTGTCCATGACATCCCGAGTTCTTCCGCACTTTGCGTGAACATTTCAAGTTACTCCCACCAGCTCCCCTTGGCTTTCTGCCGGTCGTCTCCCTCAGTTTACATACTTTCATTCTCCAGACACACACCTGCTCTGTTATTCTTTCAAACCCCCTTCCTTCGCTACCTAAGTCAAAATATCCACCTCTGCCACCACCATCAGGTGGTGGGAGATGGGGAGGAAAGGGGGACTGACCTGCTGGATGCAGAAACCAATTTGGAGAGCCAGAAGCCACCTTTTACCTTCCATAAAAACGTATGGAATACAGGCCTCCCATTCCGACAGCCAGGCTCTGCACAAAGCCCCAACAACTTCGGCTCTGCACAAAGCCCCAACAACTTCGCTCCCATCCACCTTTCCCGTCTTCCCTTTCTGCTGAGCCAGACATCTGTCACCAGCACTGCCCCTCCCGGTGCCTCAGTCCTGCTGGAGGGCAGGCCGGGGGTGTCTCAACAGGGCAAGAAGTCAGGCCTCAGTGACTAAACACTTTTGGGTACTCCAGACGGACACTGAGAGCCAGGTCTGCCCCAACTCCCCAAGCCACCATCCCTGCTCACTCTCCCTGCTCTCAAACAGTCCCTCTGACCTCCATCCCGCCTCCTCCTCCCCTTGCTCTACTCCAAAAGCCTGGGTGAGACCAGCCAGCACCTCACAAGGGAAGCCAGAAGAAGCTCAGGCTGTTGCCCCAGAAACCCAGAAGGGAGAATGGCTGGCTGGGCGCTGTTTGTTTTTCCCTGTAATCAGAAAAAAATCTCACTGGGGGGGAGAGGGGGGTGGGGGGCTCTCGGGAGACTCTCAGTTGCCAGGGAGGCTGCGGTCCTGGCTAGCTCCTCACAGCCCCCCTCAGAGGAAGATAAAATACCAACTTTGCATTATAGAAGGAAGCAAAGCAAACTGGGTGGGAGGGGGCCCAGAGCTGAGAGTAGGAGGTGGGGAGGAAAGGGGAGCTGACCTGCTGGGTGCAGAAGCCAATTTGGAGAAACATGGGGCCTTTGGCCTTTGCAAGAGAGCCCCATGAGCATACCTCATAACCATTTCCGAGAGGAAAAAATATATATTGAAGGAAGGGAGGGGCAACCACCCCAGGAAACAACTTTCCTGTACAGAACACATACACACACACCACACGGGCCCTGCAGGTGGGAGGATGGATTTCCAAGGCGATCTCAGCTTTCAAACTAGGTAAGATGAGCCATCACTTCTGGTTGGACTTTGACGGCCAGTGCAAGGGAACACCGGTTAACAGCACAGAAACACTGGCACCTCCCATGTATTAATTAATCAGGAACGCGTGACGGCTAAACCCTTCAGAGCTCCTACCGGGTGCTCACAGGGATGCTACACTAACAAAAAGAAAGAAAGAAATGGCATCTGAGTTGCCGGAATGCCCTCTGCATCCTGGGTACCAAACAGGACCCTACCCCGGTGAAATCAGCGTCGCTCCGTGCTCCCGGGCAAAGAGGAAAATGAAGGCTCTCACAGCTTCCAGCAAACACACGAGTGATTGCTGGAGCTCGTACAGTACTAGGAGGCTGCCACAGTGGCTATTACAAGTAAACAGGAAAGTTTAACGCAGATGTGTGTAAACAGCTCCTTGCATTTCGAAGGTTATCGATTCATCCAGCCAGAAGCCTGGGCCAAACAGCTTAGTCACCAGCCGCAGGCAGGGCAAATCGCTCTACCGATAAATCGGGGCATAAAGTAAATGTGGTCACCTCCCTCCCTCCCCCACCACGAGCACAAATCCGTGCCCAGTGCATCAGCTCCCAGATACACAGCTGAGGTACTGAGCACCCTCCCACCCTCACCACCCCCACCCCACCACCCTCCCTGGAGCTGATGGGTGAATTTCCGCAACTCTCCTCCGGGCTCCATCCCTTCCTTACCTGCTATCCTAAGCACGGCCCGCTCGGCGGGGTCCAGCACCGAACCCCCTTGGATCTTCCTCTTCGATCTCTCATGTTTAGGCAAATTCCAGGGTAACGTGTCCCCAGGAGCTGGAGATGCGGAGCCAGATTTCTGGCTGAAATCATCCTCATCGGAAAAATCCGCAGAGGAAGACATCGAGCAGCGGTAAGATGCGTTCCCGGAACTCTGGGGAGGATGACACAGAGGGAAGAAGAAAAAAAAAAAAGCATTAACCGCAAAGCACTCACACACGCTCCCGGATCAGCAGCCCCCTCCCTGCTGCCCCCTCGCTGAGCCTGGCATCCTGCATCCGAGGAGACACACAGAGGAGACATGAACGCCGAGGCTCACCATCTCCTGCCGGCCACCGCTCCGGCCGCGCGGACAATACCGGGCCGGCCCAGCACACGGAAGGTTTGCACCGAAGTGTGTGTGGCCTGCGGTCTGGCCACCAGCTCCCCAGTGACCGGCCCAACAATGAAGCCCGAATCAACAGCCTTCCTGGTGCAAAGCTACAGTATCTGGCTCCCCCAGCAGGACGGGAGAAACATTTTCCATGACTAGGCTGCTGGTTAATTCATTAAGGGCAACTAACTCGAAGTTTCAAAAACAAAAGCACAAACGCAGGATGTGGCGTCCCCCCGACTCCTTTCCGTCTCAGGTCGCCCCGCCGCTGGCGCCTCCTTTCTGGCCGGTTTGGAGCCCCGGTGCCCTTGATTGGGTTTTCTTCCCTGAAGGGAAGCAGGTTCCCAGACAAGAGCAGGGAGGGGGAAGGGCGGCTCTGAGAAGAGCCTTTTCTTAAGACTGGGAGAGCAGCACAAAAGCCTGTTTGCAGAAGCCCGAGGCAGCTCCGATAAACAAACCTCTGAGTTCTTGGGATCCTTTAAACTTCTAGCAAAGGAACAGCTGCCGATCACGTAAATGGGAATGAGGCAGCGCGGTGACAGGAAACGGCTCTTCCCAGCTCCCGGTCATTACACGGTGGGACCGGGGAAACGTGATGCTTTTACTGCAGCACTGCCGAAGGTTCGCCCTCTCTTCATGGAGCGGGAGGGACTCATCCCTGGGTAAAGGGGCTCTGCCTTCGGTGCGGAGAGGGGGCACACAGTGTCATCGCTCCCTTTCTTTTGCGGGTCATGTACGTTGGTGATTATTTAGAGAGCTTGCAATCAAAACAAGGATGCTGGCCATCTGGGCTGTGAACTCGATAAATAAAGTAAACTATGATGGGACGTCTTCACGTTCCCATGTAGAATTTCACTTTGCTGAAGCTCCTGGCAAAGAGGCCCAAACAATTATAATTCGAATTCCTAAAATGCTCCTGGCATTTTAACTAAGATGGCAAGTTATTGGACGTGAATCGGTGAGACCTAATCCAGTGGGAGCCAAAACATGGAGCTGCTCACAAAGGCAGGGTCCACCACAGCGAAAACAGGCTGGGTGAGCCACAACCCAAAGCGCTCACCGAAGGCATGTGAAGTAAACTACAAGAGATTCAGGATCATTGACCCTATCCAGACACAATGCTGCACGTGGTCAATACCATCTTTTTTTTTTTAATTTTTTAACTTATATTTTATTGATTTTTTTTTTAACAGAGAGGAAGAGAGAGGGATAGAGAGTTAGAAACATCGATGAGAGCGAACCATCAATCAGCTGCCTCTTGCACACCTCCTACTGGGATGTGCTCGCAACCAAGGTACATGCCCCTGACCAGAATTGAACCTGGGACCTTTCAGTCCGCAGGCCGACACTCTATCCACTGAGCCAAACCAGTTTCTGCAATACCATCATTTTAAAAGTTCACAACATTTACCGCAAAATAAAGCATCTAAGATTTATCTTTACCTATACTCTCTCTTGAAAAAGCAGTCTTCCGTTTTATTTCACCTGAGATTGCATCACCTTGGCAAATTTACTTATTGAGAGTTTGTGTGTTTTTCCTAAGTGGCAATGCTGTAATTGGCACACTCGAGGCAAATAAATAAATAAAATTGATTTTCTGTATTGTAGCTAAAGTCCATGGAGAGTTGTGAGTGGCATTAAGTCGGTCACAGAATGCTCTCATCAAGCTAATTTATTTTCCACGCTTTTCTGGAAATGCGTCTTGAGCTGTCTAAGGTGGTGCTGTTGGCTGGATCTGTGAAAACGGGTGACATTCTTCAAGACTCTCACCAGGGTGTTGGGTTTCTCTGGTTGCCTTCTGTCTTCCTTAAAAAGGCTTCCTACCTGTCCTTACTGAAGGTCATCCTTTATCTGTGAGCTTATATTTCTTCTGGCTGCCTGGACTGTTTTCAATAGGTATGGTAATGTGATTGTTTATCTTTACAAGCAGGCTTAGAGAATAACTGTTCAAGAAAACTGCCTTTTTCCAAAAACCATGGGTTATTGATTTTTGTGGAGTAAATTTTTTTAATGGCCAGAGTCTCAGCTGATTGAACAGCAAAACGTTATTCACGCGACGACATAAGCACCATTAATCACAAGGAGCCAGATGGGAACGGTTACTAGCCCGGGACCCGAGGGTGCTGACTGGGCAGCCTCTAATCTGGTAGTGTCATTTGGTAAAAAGATAAGAGAGAAAAGACAATCAGCAACAGCTCTTTCAGCAATCTATCACCGAGGAATAGAGACACACACAGAGAGAATGAACGAAATCATACGTATTTATATGTGGTAAAGTCTCTCCCAGGTTATATGATGCAAGTGTTTTAACAATTAAAGTATTCAGTTTTTTTCCACAATAATTTTTTGAGAGCTTCCTTTTGGTAAACTATATAAAATTGGGCTCATTTGAACACTAAAAGTTGAGAAGTGATATCTTAAAGAAAGCTGCTTGGAAATCCATCCATCATCTAAAACTATTATACTCCTTATTTGAAATGACTTGCCAATTCCTGTCACTATCTTGGGGTTTAGAGGGAAGAGTGCAAGAGTACATTTCTCTCTTCTTTTCTTTTCTTTTCTTGTGGAAAAAGCAAACATGTTCTCTGACACAAAGTCCAGAGCCTAACCTTTGATGTGGGGCTTGGAAGGGTAAGACAAAGGAAGAGGGTGCTTGTGACCAGCAAAAGGCCCAAGTCCCTGTCTTTTCTTCTATTCTTGTTGCCTGTTAAAATCCAAATATCTGTGTCTACCCATAAGGGGCTAAATAAATTACAACATATTCATACAACAGACTACTCTGCTGCAATTAAACAAAAGTGTTATTGATCTACATTTAGCAAAGTGGAAAGAATTCATATAGAATTCTTCTTTTTTTTTTTAATCTGTGCATGAATGTGTATGTAGGTGAACAGGGATGACTGATAGATTAATAGGTTGATAGATAACTATGTATCAATATATATACAATGGTTATTTCTGGGTAATGACTGATAATATAAATGGATTTTATTCCTTCTAATTGTATAATCTAAAACAAATACAAAAAAAAAGGTTACTAAAAATAAAATACAAAAATAGTGTGTCAGGGGTCAGAGAAAGATCAAAGGCTCCAGAAAGAAATAACTATTTAAGCCAGTGCTCCTAACCATTTTGCCTAACCATTTTGGGCCCAAAGACCCTCCTAAAAAGCTGATAAATCTATGGAAACCTCTCTCCAAAACAAAGCTCATAAATAAATACACACCCACTATGCATGTAAATTTAAAGGGTCCATTGACCCACTAACCCCAGGTTAAGACCCCAATTTACACCCTCATCTGTCATCGCCATTTGGCATGTGTGTTGAGAACAAGATAAAGAAGAAAGAGCTTTGGAGTCCAGGAAAAGAGGGGAAAGGGTAACTAAGATAACAAAGACAAAGTTGGGGAAAGGGTAATTAAAATAGCAAAGACAAAGTTGACACCTTATAATATTTTTAACATTTGGTCTTTTATTTTTTAATAAAGGAGGGTGAGCCATTATAGACTTATACTAGAGGCCTGGTGTACAAAATTTATGCACGGTGGGAGGAAGGAGGAGATGGTGTCCCTCAACCCAGCCTGCAATGCTCTCCAATCTGGGACCCCTCACAGGATGTCTAGCTGCCCATTTAGGCCTCATCCCTGTGAGGTGGGGCCTAAATGGGCAGTCGGATATCCCTCTGACAATACAGGACTGCTGGCTCCCAAACACCTGCCTGCCTGCCTGCCCGATTGCCCCTAACTGCTTCTGCCTACCAACCTGATCACCCCCTAACCACTCCTTTGCCAGCCTGATCGATGCCTAACTGCTCCCTTGCCAGCCCAATTGCCCCTAACTGTCCTCCCCTGCAGGCCTGGTTCCCCTCAACAGTCCTCCTCTACAGGCCCAGTCACCCCTAACTACCCTCCTCTGCAGGCCTGGTTGCCTCCAACTGCCCTCCCCTACAGGCCCAGTCACCTCTAATTTCCTTCCTCTGCTGGCCTAGGACCCCACAACTGCCTTCCCCTGCTAGCCATCTTGTGTTGGCTATCTTGTGTCCACATGGTGGCAGCCATCTTTGACCACATGGGGGTGGCCATCTTGTGTCTTGGAGTGATGGTAAATTTGCATATTACCTCTTTATTAGATAGTATGTTGGATCTGTACAACCAAAATAAATAGATAGATGATAGATAGATAGATAGATAGATAGATAATGATATTTTGTGAGGAAAAAAAACCTGTTTTGTGTCTTATTGCAGCCTAGTTATTAAAGCAGTTTTAACAATTGAATTAGATCACCATGACCTTTGAAAGGACTTTCTTAATAGCCAATTCATTCACATGGTTTAAAAACAACCCAAATCTCCTAAGCCAGGATAATTACATAATACAACACTTTTAGAAGGGGAACTAAACAATCACTTCTCTAATTGAAACCCGGGTGGGAGATCTGAGATAAGTACAATGGGACTGCCTACACTGGAAGTCGCCCAGCCTTAGCACCCAGAGCTGAAGGAAAGTGCCAGGAAACTGCCTCTGCACTAGGCAGTCTCTAAATGCAACGTAGAAACAAGTGCAAAGATAAGGGTTTGCAAAATAGGCAGACTTTCAGAGTCCCAGAGGCCGGGAAGTTAACTCCCACAAACCTGCATGCTTATGATTTACATATATCACCTTACGTATATTTTGAAAATTTTACCAAAAAAGAAATTTAAAAACAAAAAGCGCATGGGGAAACATCTGGGCAGATCCAAATTGTGGGGCATTCTACAAATTAACTGTCCTGCCCTCTTCAA